GCTCACTATTTCTTAGTGCCCCTCTCCAATATCCCATGTTGCCTTTATGAGCAATCCAAGCTCTATAGTGTTCTTGCATGGTTTTTTTTCTATTTCTTCATTATCCCAAAGTAAAAAGCCTGAGAAAGCAAATTAGCATGATAACTTTCATTTCTGTGGCTGTAGGTAAGTAATAAAGTGAATAATAATGGCTCACAGTCATGCAGTGTTTTAAGCTTTGCAAAGTGTTTTATACTCATTATTCCTGATAGAATTTAGTTCATGACCATTCATGTTACAATCTAGTGTCATCTTCACAATATGTGGACTTGGCAGAGCAGTCCATAATCCTTTATGTATAGCTCTGTTGTTCCAGCATACAATCAATAGCATGGAGAACCTTGCAGGTGGATTTTCCAAGGATTTCTGGTGACAGAAAACCTATTGAGTTGAAATAGAATCGTGGAATGTTAAGAGCTGAAAATCACTTTAAAGGTCATTAAATTCAGCCTCATCATTTTACAAATGAATTAACTGAGACTAGGAGGGGGTTTGTGACATGTTTAAGGTCACACTCATTGGTGTTTGACCCAAAACCAAAATCCTGTTGTTGTTGTTTTTTTACTTTTAAGCCCAATGCCTTTTCTGTTATATTAAGCATTCTTATCAATACAAAAGTTCAATGCAATTCTAGATTCCAGATCTTTTGTTATATCTTTGAGTACAGATTGTGTAAAGGATGACCAAAACTAGCTGTATTGGACCACCCTCTTTCATTCCATTGATGATGGGGAATGAATGTGAAAAGATATCATTAACTATGACTTTGATGAGTTTTTTTTTCTGGTCATCAAACTTCCTTAATAATTGATCAACAGACATTTATTAAATGCCTACTCTATATGTGTGTGTATGTGGGTGGGTGGGTGGGTGTGAGAGAGAGGTGCAAGGTATACAAAGACAAAGAATGAAACAATTCCTACTGTCATGAAGCTTAGGGACTTATGGGACTACTCATCAATCAAATACTTTAATAGAATCAAAGATTAATAGAAAAGATAATGCTGCTCTGTAACTCCCTGCTGGCTGCATAGAATGGGGTAGAGAGAGAAGTTCTGTTCCACTTGAGCTAATAATTTCAATAGTACAGAAATGATAAGTCTGGTCAGGAATTCACCACCAAAGGAACCATGAAGTATCTGGAGAAAAAGAAAACAATTCTCTAGAAACTTAGATGTACTTATTTATAGTCTGACCTTTTCCTGCTGAGTTTCTAGCTCACAGACCATATGTGTTAATCCCCATGGCAAATAAGAGTTTTCTTTCTTCAGCTAGTTTACAGCTTTGTAGGGGGGACAAAAATTGTCTGAATCACTCAAGCTGCTTTCTTAGTAGACTAATTATAGGTACCTTTCAGATACTATTTCTTTCTGAGAGCTGGGTCCACAAATGGCATAGCTGCCTCCAGGGGAAAAAAAATGGTACTTTACTGTAGTAATATGGATCCACTAGCTAAACTTTCTCCAGGCTTGAAGAACAAGTCAAATCAGCAAGCATTTATTAAGCACCCATTATGTGCCTGGCCCTGGCTAAGTGCTGAGGATACAAAAAAAGGCTAAAAAAAAAAAACAGCAGCCAAAAAAACAGCCCTTGCCCTCAAGTTCACAGTCTAATGTAGGAGACAACATGCAAATAACTATGGACAAATAAGTTATACATAGGATAAATTAGAGACGGTCAAGGAAAATAGGTAATTATGCTCAAATCATGTCAAATATGTTTTCCTTTTTACAAAAATACAACAAAGAATAATAATTAGTCACTAAGCACTAACACTTAGGTTGATATTTAAGTATAACAATTTAGAGCAATATTGTTAAATATCCAGATGCCTAGATGCAATTTTGTGGTTACCCCTTCAGTCAAAAGCATTACTAATCGCTATGAAGCTGAATATAAACTAAATGTAGGATTTCTTTTAAACAGTAGGCAATATGATTTCTGAGCTAAAATCATTACCATTGTTGTCATCTTAAAGTTGGGGTACTCAAACAAAAAATTAATAAAGGGGTCCCTTTGTTAATTGTAAAATAAATAGATCTCAACTTTCCATCCCAGTCCTTCCCCCTCAAAGTGATGTATATATACAAACTGTTCCTGTCACATTGTTTCACAAGAATTTTTCATCTCTTTAAGATGATGGCAATATGTACGTGTATATTTATAATACATACATACATACCTGTGCGTATATGTCAACATCATTTTCCATTATATTTATATAGTTTTAAAAGCTCCATGGCATATGTTTTCTCATTGACCCTCACAAGAGCCCTGCAATGTAAATAAAGAAGATGTTCTTATCCTCATTTTACAAATGAGGAAAATGAGAGAGGAAAAATCTATGTTCTAGTTGTGTCTGTGCTGCTAATGATTTATGACCTGGGCAAATCACTTAATTGGCCCTTAATGCAATCATCTTCAAAAGGAGAGGATGAACTGGATGAGCTCTAAGGCCTTTTCCAAGCTCAAAAATTCAATTATTTGTCCCAAATCATGTGACTAAAACACTCATAGAAGCAAAATTAAAACTCAGATCCTCCGTGTCCTCCTCTAGGGTTCCATTCAGTAGATCATACCTTGTCTTAAGGTGCAAGCTACCCTGATTAATAATAAATACCTTCCTTTTTCCTTTCCTCTTTCCTTCCTTCCTCTCTACCTCTCTCTTCCCTTTCTTTCTTTTTTTTCTTCTTTCTTGCTTGCTTGCTTTCTCCTTGGTTTCTTTGTCTTACCAGGCTGGAAATGCAGTGGCCCCTCACAGGCCTGATCCCACCACTGCCCATGATAAGAGCTTTGACCTGTTCTGTTTCCAGCCTGAGTCTTGCTGCCTCTCCTTAGGCAGCACCTCGTTGCTGCTAGATCAGTGCAGACACACCTGACTGACAGCTCAGAACACCTGAATTCAAGCAATTTTCCCCCCCAGCCTCAGCCTCACTGATTACAGCAGAGATTACAGCAATGTGCCACCCTGTCCAGCTTATGGTAGTTTCTTAAAGAGATTGTCCCCACCCTCTACTCCCAAAATGTTATATGCTTTAGTTTCACTTTCTTGATATATGATTCTACATTTTCATTCAGCATCCATTTATTAAAATTCTTATTACAAGCAGTGAACAATTATAGGCATTGCAGATATATAAACAAAATGGAATACAGTTCTTGACCTCAAGAAGTTTAGGCTTCAATAAGGCAAAACATGTACAAAAAAAAACTTTAAGAGAATATGATGTGTCTAGGAGAGGTTCCCTAGAAAAAGATGACAGATTTTAGGAAGGAGTGTTTACTTCCAGCTTAGGCAGTGTTGAAAAGGGAGAAAAAATAAGGGGAGACATCATGAATTTTAAAGAAAGGGAAGTATTTCAACAGATAGCTGTGGATAAAGCCATTCCAGGTGTAGGGGATGGCAATCAAAAGGCACAGAGATTGGAGAAGTAGAACAAGATAGAGGAACATTGTCCATAATGCATATGATTAAACAGCTGGCTCTAATATGGAGGTTGTTTCTATATCCTAGTAAATAGATCATTAAAGTGACAGTGCTTTCTTTATGTGGCTACAAAAATGCAATTAAATGAAAAATCTGATATAACAGATGATTTCACAAGTGTCCATCCACATAAAAATAAATCTACAAAAACACATTATTGTCATTGTTATTGATGACAGAATCATGAGACTTAGAACTAGAAGGACCTTAAAGATCATTCAGTGTCACCCTCTCATTTTTAGAAGGGGAAACTGAGGCCCAATGAGGTTAAATAAACAACTTGTGCAAGGGTCACATAAGAAGAAATAGCAATTCACTCAGATAGTAATAGTTACAGCACACGCATATGCAAATGGCATAAGACATAAATTTGACAGGTTTCTCAAAAGGTTGTATTGATTGGAGGAGGAGAGAAGGGAGTAACAGTTTTCTAACAAAGGGTTTATTTCTCAGCTTCTTTCTGTACTTAATCCATAAAACATATTCAGTATATAATTCCTAAGTCTCATCAGATCACAAGAATATAGTATCATAAATTTAGAGCTGAAAGACACCTTGGATGTTATCTAGTCCAAGTCTTCCACTTAATAGATAAGGAATCTGAGGCTTAGAGAGATGAAGGGACTTACCCAAAGACAGAGGAGTTTTAAGTGGCAGAATCAGAATTTGAACTGGGTTCCTTTGATTCCAAATCCAGTGTTCTTTCTAAGAGAGAGCTTGCTTACTATGAGATTTCATTAGACCCAGATTTTCATTTCTTCTTAAATTGGCTAGATAAAGGGGACAGCTACAGGTATTAAAAGAGTAGTATGTTATTTCCATATTTCCAAATAATTAAAATTTAAAATGGAACAGAAGAGTACTTGATGATTCCTCCTGAGGTCAAATAATATAATCTTGTAGCATTATAGGATCAAAGCACCGGAGAAAACCTCAGAGAATATCTATTCATAGAGTCATAGAACTGGAGGAATATGTATGGAGCTCTAGACCAAGGGTTCTTATCTTTGGTATCTCATAGACCCCTGTGGCAGGCTGGTGAAGCCTATGGCCCCCCCTCTTAGAATAACATTTTTACATTCATAAAAATAAAATATGTAAGATTACAAATAAGCCATTTATGGTGAAATATAGTTGCCAAAACATATGCATATTTTTAAAAAGCCCATGGATCCCAGGTTAAGAACCCCTGTTCTAGCCACATAATCATGTCCTTAGAGAATTTCTAAGCATAGAATGTTAGTACAGGAAGCAGAAAAATAGAAAGGAACGTCAGAGATCCAACCCACCCTCATTTTACAGTTGATGAAACTAAGCCTCAGAAGATAAAGCAATTTTATCTTCTGATAAACTTAATGACTGGTGGATTGTCAGAGATAGGCATAGAAGCCAGATCTCTTGAATCCCGGGCCAATGCTATTTCTGCTACACCATATTATCTCCTTATGACATTTCTCTCATTGCTGTTTTCCAGGAGAGGCATGCTGCAGAGGTCCGTAGGAACAAGGAGCTCCAGGTGGAACTGTCTGGCTGAAGATAATGGCAGACATAACATATCCCCATCTCTAGTAAACTCCCCTGCCTATATTATAATGGATCACGCGATATCAGTATGGGAAAATGTATGACATGGTTTAAAAAAAAAAAGAACTCATTATAAAAAACAAACAAAAATAAAAACAATGCAGTCTCTTTGCAGAATGATTTGCTTGATGTTTAAAAAACCTTGGATCTTATTTTGTAAATACTTACATTTTTGTTAAAAAATACAAGTATTGCATTATGCAAGTTATTTCATAATCTTACATGTCCTGTAACAGGCTTTTGATGTTGTCTCTTTCCACTCAATTGAATTTGCTAGGTCTGTTCTTTCGAAAGCTCCCCACATCCAACTCCATTCCCAGCACTTTTCATTCCAACAAATAATGAGGTCAGTAGTAGGTTATGGTGCTAGAGACCAATCATGCCTAATTGCCTAGAATGCTTCGTAATCTCTGAGCTTTGTTAAGACAATAACTAGATCACAGGTATTGTGACTCCACCTGGAAACCATCCAAAAAAACAGCTTTGACATTTGTACGCTCATAATCTATTTAACAGCCTAGAGACAACAGAATAATTCTAAGACAGACAAATTGATAATATTCGCACTCATTTCTGCTTCCATTGGATTATGGGCAACAAATGTGACTTCAAATTTAGAAAAGGGATGGATGGATGGAAAGATAGCTGAGATTGATCTGAGTAGAAGCAAAAAGCTGAATGCTATAAAGTGCTGAACATGGCAAGGCCTAAATGGTACAAATACAGCCATAAAACACTCTTCATAAAAGTGGGCTTAATTCTCTAGTTTAAGTTCTTTTGATGGAATGAATTAATTAATGTGTCAGGTGGCTTATTTGTGGATGCCATGATGTTCATTTTTATGCTATTACATATAGTACAAGTACATGATGCTACTGAATATTTTTCAACTTGGAACCTGTGAGCTGGTTGTTGCATTTAAGACATATACACACTTACATAGACACTCCTACACACTGCTGACTTCCATTCAAAGCTGGCCTTTCCACCAGTGTTAGGGGACCCTGCCTCATTAAAAAGACTTCTCTAACCATGAGGGCTGTAACAGTTAGAGGGCTAGAAAGGCACTCGCTGCCACTACGGGACTCACAAAACACACCCACTCAAAGATATTCGCAGTTTTGAAGTTGTTTCCCCCAACCCCACCTCTCGAAGGTTGCTGCCTGCATATTCTCCTCTTCATTAGTGCTATTTTCCTGTATGTCATTGTGAGCAAGCTGTGATTAATAAAGAATTGGGGTTCTGTGAACTGAAAAAGGTCTGGTCTGTTCTCTTGCTGCTTCAGTTGTGTGATAGTCAAATATTGGGGGCCATCTCCAGTGCTCCTGATCTATATCTGGCCACTAGACCCAGATGGCTCTGGAGGAGAGAGCGAGGGGGGTGACTTTGCACAGCCCTCCCTCACTTAAATCAATTCACTTGCAGGTCCTGGCATTGTCTTCCTGATGCCACGGTCCTCTTGGACAACAATCAAATACTGCATTTCAAAAGGGCAGCCAAGGAGGAAATGGAAGCCCCATTGACTGAGTCACATTCCAGCCCAGCAGGAAGCATGTCAGTGATAATGTCTCTCCTAAATGCCCCCTTATCAGGAAACCTTGATTCATCCATCCAAAATAGTAAAGGCCTGAATAAGACCCACCAAGACTCAGACTTGTGGCTCTGAAAAATATCATCCCTTTCCAGGTCTCACATGAGAATCCCACTAACCATGTTAACCAATCAACAAGAACTTATTAAGCACTTTCTAATGATAGCTAGTATTTATATAGCAATTTAAGGTTTAGAGAATACCTATATTATGTCATTTGATCTTCACAACAACTCTGTGGGGTAGGTGCTATTATTATCCCCGTTTTATAGATGAGAAACTGAAGCTAAGAGGGGTTAAGTGAGTTGCCCAAAGTCACATGGCAGAGTCTGAAATTAGGTCTTCCTGTCTCAAAGCCCAGCACTCCATTCATTATGCTACCGGGCTATCTCCACTTGCCAGACACTGTACTATATGTACTAAATGTTCAAATACAGAGAATGAAAATCTTTCTAAATTGGATGCCACAATACCAGACTTCTCAGGCCTTCCCATAAGTTCTTATGCCTGCATATCAACACTACTATGACCCTGTAGAGTATTGCCTTACCTACATCCTTGTAACAGACATATAGATGACCCCAGAAGAATTCTGGTTAATCACAGATAGGGCTTTTAAGAGCCACCAAAGTAAATGCAGAGCCCTAAACAATAATAAATCCATAAATTCCCTCAAACTCCAGAAACCCTTCTCTCTCCCCAAAGCCTCCCCATTTTCAGCCTTCATAATTACATGACCCCTAGCGCCATCATCATCAACATTAATTAGTTTATGAAGAATTAAAGATTTTTGAAAGAAAGATCTTAAATGTAGATATTCAGGGGTTATACTGAATGCTTCAGCAACATATATTAAAAGGATGAAATTCTTCAACTTCAAAATACCCCAGATTTCATCATTGTAGGTACTCCCTTCCCATCTTCATCTCTGTAAATTTAAATAGAAAAAAAGAATCACCACTGAGTGGCCAGTCTTCTGGGACCACACTTACAGCTTTTCCAGGATAGATAGCACATGGAAAAGTGTGCTCATGCCCAAAGCCATAGGGGGCAGGGGCATCAGAAAAGAAAAGGAACAGAAGAAGAAAGGCACAGCATAGAAGGAGAGTCCAGATATGCAAGAAGGTTGGAACAATTGTAAGGCATTCTCTTAGTGGCTGTCAATGACCTTTACCAACTCAGTCACACTATGATGGGAAGAAAATGAAAGAACCCAATGGAGAAAAGAATATTCCCTAAATATCATTCATTTGTTTAGTGACCTAAATGTGCAGAAAAATGATTTTTCTTATACTTCACAGTGCTACTTTTACAAGAGTTTCAATCATCAGTCATAGATTTATAGACCCAGAAGGGACATTAGAGATAATCTAGTCCAGAGGTTATTAACCTTTTTGTACCCTGCACTCCTTTGGCAGTCTGACAAAATCTCTGGAACCCATCTCAGAATAATATCTATTACCTACATTCATAATTGAAGGAAAGGCTAAATTTAATTAGAAGCTAGTAAAATAAAGGTACAATTTTTCCCATCTAAATTCATGGACACTATGGTTAAGAATCCCTGATCTCACTCAACCACTGCACTCTCCCATTTTATAAAAGCAGATACTGAGGCCAAGAAAGGGTAAGTGATATGTCCAAAGTCTCAGAAAAGAAAAAATTTTTAAGCAAGAATCTGGTAATAGAACCCAGGTCTTCTGACTGCTAGTCCAATGCTGTTCCTCTATATGATGCTGCCTCCCTTATCCCTCTTTAATTTTTTTTTAATTATCCCTGAATTCCACACGGGTTGGTCAGTAACAGAGAAATCAAATAATTTCCCTAAAAAGGCAATATGAGTCATTACCAGAATCATAGATTGAATGCCTCTTCTAATGACTCATATTACCTCTTTAGGGAAATCATTTTATTTCTTTGTTTAAACAGGGTTAAGGGAGCTGCATCATTTAGAAGAAGAGCATTGGACTGCAATTTGATTCCTATAGTTGATTTCCTATATTTGATGACTTTAGTAAGTACTCAAATGTATGAGATTGGATTAAATGTCTCCCTTAAGTTTCAATAACTATCTTTTAATTCTAAATATAGGAAAAAGAGGTCATATTTTGCCTCATTTTATTAAGCCTTAATCACTGAAAGGGCACTGCCTCAGTCAAACTTAAACCTGTTAAAGACCTCAGCTTAAAAAGGCCAAGGTCCCCCCACTGCATCCAGGGTTATCTCCAGTTGTGCTGATCTATATATGGCCACTGGACCCAGATGGCTCTGGAGGAGAAAGTGAGGCTGGTGACTTTGCACAGCCTTCCCTCACTTAAATCCAATTCACTAGCATGTCATGTCATCACCTACCCGTTGCCATGATCCTTTTCAAGAGTGAAGGAGAAACAGCAAGCAAACAGCGGCAACAATAGAAAGGATGATCATATACTCAGTGACATTACTTAAAAGGTTAGTATAGGAAACTACGAAGATGGCAGCATAAGTCTTCCTGAGTCTAACTCTGAAAGCCTACCACCTCAGAACAACAAGAAACACTCCAAATACATAGCAATTCAAACTTTGTCAGAAAGATCAGATAGGAAACATCATACAACTTGCAGCCTACAGGCCACTTGGGTGCTTGGGGCACACTAAAGGATTTCCTCTACATACAAAGGTGCTTTCCTCTACATTTTTGGGGGGCAGCCTAAAATCCTTTGGTATGCTGGTGGAGGGCCAAAAGAGGATATTTGGTTAGAAGTTGTGTAGGCCTGGTGTAAAACTTTCTGAAACAACTGGAGAAGGATGAGGCAGTTCCCTCACCCAGTCCTCCCTGGGTGACCTCTGTTTTAAGCTCTAACTCTAGTACCTCTCTACTCTTTCAGAAGTGACCCAGCCTGGTCCCCTAACACATCCCTTAAAGAGGAAAGAACAATGAACTCACCCAATCACAGTAAACACTTACCTGGGGGTTCATTACAGGCTGGGAGGAGAGACCCAATAGTATAGAGCCAGTCTCCTATACCAAGGGTGGTACAAACTCAGCTGAGCTCCTCTCTTGGAGTAATTTCCATGAGGTAAGTAGCCAGCCAGACACTTTCACCCCTCAATAAGGGGAAACCTTCAAAGTTACTGGGTCTGTCAACCACCCACCCCCCCACCTCACCGCCCCCCCACCCCAGTCATCTGGAGAAAAGAAAATGTCATGACAAAGATAGGTAGGAAGTCAAACAGTACAGAGATACTATATAATAATAAATGAGAAGCAAAAGGGTAGAAGATATGCAAGACTAACAGAAAGGTTGGGGATAAGCCTAGCTCCCAAATGGGGGGGAAAAAGAGACATAAAGAAAAAAATAACAATGAATAAATAAGCTAGGAAAGAAGACAAATGAAAAATATATGCATATGTACATATATATGTATATGTGGGTGTTACTTAAGTTATTAAAACTTAAAGCTGCACTACAACTTTTGAGACACCCTGTGTGAAGCAGTGATATAAAGTGGTCTGAAAATTCCAAATTTAAAAAAAAAAGGAAAACAATAAATTCTACAGGACTACCAGAAACAAAATGTTATACAATATCACGAAACCTTATAATTTTTTCAAAAGCTAAATGGGAATAGTAAAATAGGCAATAAGGATGAAAATTAAGCCTGAAATTAGGGTGAATATCAGAGCTCTTAGAAAAGAAATCAAAAAGACCAATAAAGGGATAGGTAATTTAGACCACATAATAGAGAATCCTTCCAAAACATTAGTGGCTCTGAAAATGAGAATGGCAGATTTGGAGCTCAAAATATATTTATGGAGGAAAATTTGGAAGAAAAGAATCAAAGGACAGGAGCATTAAAAAGTCACATGAGTTCAATAAAAGAAAAAGCTGCTGACATTGAGGACAAGATTTATTGAGATAATACGGTCATTACAGATCTGTAAAAAATAATGATGAATTGAAAAGACTCAGATATCTCCTTGCTTCCCACTCAGTTACACTAATTTTTGGACTTCTTTGACTTCTCCAACTGCATTAATTTAAATTCTTTTGCTTCTCCAACTACACTCATTTTGGATCTCTTTGCCTTCACTAAGTCCCACCAGGTACCTTTCTCCCTTCCCCTCAGCTCCCAATTTTTTGTTTATGTGTTATCTTTCTCTGTTTAGTAGTAAATCCTAAAGGGCAGGGACTGTCTTTCTTTTCCATATTTGTATCCCCAGCACTTAGCATAATGTCTGGCACATAATAAGCTCTGAATAAATAGTTTATTGACTGTAACTGTGAAAGGCCTGAATATTCTATTACAGGAAATAAGACACAAAGATCACTAAGAAGTGTTGAAAGCTAAGGGCAAAGTATTTATTGATAAACTCTCCAGATTTCTAACACAGAGAAATTAGAAATTTCAAACTTTAGTCACCAAGAAATGCAGTGATTGAAGTTCAGGATTTTGATGTCAAAAAAATATTGGCATTTGGCCATTAAGGAAAATCTATTTGAATAGCTTCAGACTACTCCTAACCTGCAAGAGATCAAAGAAAGGATTGGAATAAAACAGTGTGGAGAAGAAAGGAGAGTAAGCCATTATATGATATCCCATAGAACTAAGCAAAATAATCAATAAAAAAAAAATGGACTTTCAAGAAAAGGAAGGCACTTCAATTAATCCTTCAAATGAAAGC